TGATTCCTCAGAAGTCTGTAAACTGATCTACCTCAAGATCTAGCTATACCACTTTCAGGCATACACCCAAAGGGCTTTTCATCTTACTAGAGACCTTTCTCATCCGCAGTTACTGCTGCTCCATTCATAATAGCCATAACTAGAAACAGCCTAGCTGTCTGTCAACTGGTAAATAGATAATTGAAATGTGGTACATTTACACAATGGAAAATTATTCAACTGTTAATTTTTTAAAAAAATTTACAAGCCACGCACACCCGTCGCTCCTCCCATCCCTCCCCCGGTCCCCCCCACCCCCACCTTGGCCTAATTAAAAAAAAAAGAAAAAAATTTACAAGCCAGCCGGGCGGTGGTGGCGTATGCCTTTAATCCCAGCACTAGGGAGGCAGAGGCAGGCGGATTTTGTGAGTTCGAGACCAGCCTGGTCTACAAGAGCTAGTTCCAGGACAGGCTTTAAATTACAAATTTGATATCCTTTTTCTTTTTTTTCTTTTTTTAATTTTTTTATGATTTATTTATCTTTATGTGCATTGGTGTGAAGGCGTCAGATCCCCTGGAACTGGATTTTCAGACAGTTGTGAGCTGCCATGTGGGTGCTGGGAATTGAACCCTGGCCCTCTGGAAGAGCAGTCAGTGCTCTTAACTGTTGAGCCATTTCTCCAGCCCCTTGATATCCTTTTTCTTAAATGTGTGTTAGCTTCTTTTGTTTTATTCTATTTTGTTTTATGAGATAGGATTTCTCTGTGTAACAGCCCTGACTGTCCTGGAACTCCAACTCACTAGTGTGGTGGGAGTTGGGCACCAACCACACCAGCCCTCAGGAGGCAGATTCAGGAAGATCCAAGTGAGTACCACACCAGCTTCGCCTACACGCCCGAGTTCCAGGACAGCCAAGGTTGCAGAGTGAGACCTTGCCTCAAAGAAAACAAACTAAGTCAGGTGGTGGTACTCGTCTTTAATCCCAGCCCTTAGGCAGAGGCAGGCAGATTTCAGTGAGTTCAAGGCCAGCCTAGAGCACAGAGTGAGTTCCTAGACGGCCAAAGCTGTTACACAGAGAAACCCTGTCTCAAGAAACAAAACAAAACAGCTGGGCAGTGGTGGTGCACACCTTTAATCCCAGCACTTGGGAGGCAGAGGCAGGCGGATCTCTGTGAGTTCGAGACCAGCCTGGTCTACAGAGCTCATTCCAGGACAGGCTCCAAAGCTGTGGAGAAACCCTGTCTCGAAAAACCAAAAAAAAAAAAAAAAAAAAAAAAAAAAAAAGAAAAGAAAAGAAAAAAAAGCAAACAAAACAACAAAACCCCAAACCAAACCACCAAACCAACAACAAAATGAAAACAACCAGCCCCATAAAAGAAATGAAGGAGGGTGGGTAGGAGCTGGGAGAAGCTGGGGAAGGGGAAAGGCATGAGCAGAATACATTGTATGTAAAAAGTTACAAAAGAGGCAAACCAATAGAAAGCATAAAAGGATGTGTTGAGCTGATTAGAAGCACCTAAGGAAGCCAGCTGACCTAGCTATCCCAGGAGTGAAACAGCTGGATCATACAGCAGTTCTAGTTTTCATTTTTTATTAAGGTTTTTATTAACATAAAATAAATGCATGTAATAATGGATCTCGTGGCATTGTCACACATTTATATAGTGTATTTCCATCACAATCACCCTATTACCCTCTGCTGTCTCCCTCCCATTTCCTCTGACCTATTCCTTTTACTAACCTGTCTTGGCTCTACTTTATTTTTTCTGGTTTGTAACTTAGTGATTTTTTTCTATTTTTTTTAGATTTATTTATTTTTATTATGTATACAAACTTCTGCCTCCATATATGCCTGTGTTCCAGAAGAGAGCGCCAGATCTCGTTACAGATGGTTGTGAGCCACCATGTGGTTGCTGGGAATTGAACTCAGGACCTCTGGAAGAGCAGCCTGTGCTCTTAACCACTGAGCCATCTCTCCAGCCCCCGTGATTTTTTTTTAAGATTTATTTATGGTGTATACAACATTCTGCCTCCATGTATGCCCACAAGCTAGAAGAGGGCGCCAGATCTCATTACAGATGGTTGTGAGCCCCCACGTGGTTGCTGGGAATTGAACTCATGACCTCTGGAAGAGCAGCTGGTGCTCTTAACCACTGAGCCATCTCTCCAGCCCGATTTTTTTTTTTTTTTGAGACAGGGTTTCTCTGTAGCTTTGGAGCCTGTCCAGCTCTTGTAGATCAGGGTGGCCTCAAACTCGCAGAGATCAGCCCATCTCTGCCTCCCGAATGCTGGGATTAAAGGTGTGCACCACCACTGTCTGGTGTGACTTAGTGAATTTAACTGGAGGGGCTTACAGGAGGATAAATGAATACTGATTTATGAGAGTCAGGACAACTTACCGCGACTAAAGCTCTGAAGAAAATGTTTTTTTCCTGCTATCACCATTAAGGAGTGGTAGGGTCTTGTGAGCCTTTCTCCCCTACTAGTGGGAAGAGTTTTAGTTTTGTTATTTTCAAAAAGTAGATTCTCTCTCTGTCTCTCTCTCTCTCTGTCTCTCTCTCTTCTATAGAGGGTCTTTCTGTGTAGCCCTGGTTGTACCGGAACTCTCTCTGCTGACCAGACTGACCTCCAACTCAGAAACTGCCTCTGCCACCCAGAGTGCTGGGATTAAAGGCGTGTGCCATCACTGCCCAGCATTCAATGTGGATATTTTTCGTTTTGTTTTGTTGTTTTTGAGACATCTCACTATTCTTGGGTTCAAAGTAGTTTGTTTGTTTGTTTGTTTCATGCATGTGAGTGTTTTGATGCATTTAAGTATGTGTTTCGTGCGGGGCTTGAAGAGGTTAGAGGTTAGAAAAAGGGACTGAAGAATCTCCTGGAACTGGCATTATGGATGATGTGTGGATATAGGGAACTGTCTTTGGGTTCTCTGCAAGTCTGCAAGAGGAGCAAGTGTTTTTTTTGTTTTTGTTTTTGATACAGGGTTTCTCTGTGTAGCTTTTTTGGAGCCAGTCCTGAAACTTGCTCTGTAGACCAGGCTGGCCTTGAAGTCACAGAGATCCACCTGTCTCTGCCTAGCACGTGCTGGAATTAAAGGTGAGTACCACCGCCATCCAGCAGAGCAAGAGTTCTTAACCCAAGGTACCTCTGGAGGCCTTGCCTCAGCATCTTGAATATTGAAGTTTTAGGAGTGAGCCACCTTACCTACTTGTGGTTTTGCCCTAGCAGCAAGGTATTTTTATTACTACTACGACTCTGTCTTATAACTTGAAGTATTTCTATATCTTCAGCATTAGTCTTTTTGCTTAAGATTGTTTTGGGTGATCTTATTCCCCCATAAATTCATTCATATTTGTGTTTATGTGTGCTTCTTTATAAATTTTAGGATTGTCTATATTTTGTTTTTGTTTTTCTAAACAAGGTTTCTGTGTAGACCAGAGTGGCCTCAAACTCGAGTTCTGCCTACCCCTGTCTTTGGATTGTTGGAAGCAAACCTGTGTGCCACCACCACCCGGCTTTAATGTGTATTTCTTTGGTTAGAAGAACATTTGACTTTTTTTTGGGGGGGGGGGGCGTTGAATGTTTTTCTTTTTCCTTGAGTTTTTTTGGTGTGGATTGTTGGGACAGGGTCTCACTATGTAACCTTGGGTGGCCTGAAGCTCCTGACAAATTTTTAATTTTATTTTTTCCAGACAGGGTTTTACTGTGTAGTCTGGCTGATTCCAAACTCATTATGTAGGCCGGATGGGTTTTGAATTCACAGAGATCTGCCTGTTGCAGCTTTTCAGAGTTCTGGGACTAAAGACAAGCACTTTCAACATTTCGTTTTAAATCTATTGTAGTCTTATCAGTTCTAGGCACTGTGTAGGCATGGTGTTCTACTTCTTCCCTGGTACAACTGACAGCAGTAGCTTTATAATTTGCTTTAATATGTGAGGACAAATGTATCTTTATTTCTGTTTTTTTGGTGTCTCAAAATGGGTAAGATAATAGTTGTTTTTAGCTATGTATTCTGGTAGACTAAGAATTTTGAGTCTATGGGCTTGAGAGATGGCTTCGCAGTTGAGAGCACTGATTGCTCTTCCAAAGGATCCTGGTTCAACTCCCAGCATCCACAAGCAGCTCACAGCTATCTGTAACTCCAGTTCCTGGGGACCTGACACCTAGCTTCGGAACCTGTCCTGGAACTAGCTCTTGTAGACCAGGCTGGCCTCGAACTCACAGAGATCTGCCTGCTTCTGCCTTCCGAGTGCTGGAATTAAAGGTGTGCTTGGTTCTTCCTGGCTGCCTTTTGACCCTTGGGACCTGCCGTGATCACCGGAAAACTTGGATTAGCATAGGGTGTATAGGGACCTCCTGGTCCTCTGAGTAATCGGGGTCGACCTTCCAGGGTGTGGTCACAAGGACCCCAGGAGGCATTAGGGTTAGAACTCCCGGGCTTCCCTTTAAAATCAGAACCACTCCAAGCCTTCGTACATCTCAGTACATCTCAGACCGTGGAGCCGGCAGTCTTCGGGGACTAAACGTTACAGACTGGGCTACTCCGCATAGTTGAAGAACCAAGGGACGCAAACGGATCTGAGAGGTGAGGCGCAGGCCACTTGACACGGGTAGGTGGTGATGGTGTTGGGGGGTCTGAAGGTCAGGCTCAAAAAGGAGCAGTCTTCCGTTTGGGGGCTAGGCTTAGACATGGGATAGAGAACAGGGTCACTGTTCCACAAGGGTTGCGGGTCAAGTATTTCGCAGTGAGGTTGCCGTCGTCCGGTTCTGGAGCCTGGGTCGGGATCCGGTCGATGTCCGGGTTAGAGCTCCCGGGGCCTCCCGTGCACCCCTCCCCCATTACGCTGTCCAGCGGCCACCCTGCCCTCCCGGGACTCAGCCCTCTCCGCGGCCCCGCCCAGTCTCAGGGGTCCGCCCCCACGAGGGTCCGCCCCTAGGTCCGCCCCGATGCTCGCCCATTCAGATGTGGGTCAGGGGTGAGCGGGTGGAGCTGACGTCACAAGCTTCCAAGATGGCGCGGAGCGGGCGGCTGTGAGCGGCGCTCTGGGCGCGCTGGGCGGGGAGCCGAGCCGGGCCGGCGGCGGGCGGACAGGTCGGGCGCGTGCGGCGCAGGCCGGGCGCCGACGAGTAGGGGCCGCTGGCAGGCACATGAGGTAAGCGGCGTCCTCGAGTGAGGGGGGCGCGTTCCGGGCGCGCTCCCGGAGAGGGGGGCGTGGGCGCGCGTGGGACGAAGCGCGCGCACGGCCCCTAGTCCCGAACCGAGGCGCACGCGGGACCCCGGACGGGCGGGGGCTTTGTGGCCCAGGTGCCCGGCGGCTTGCGGGCAGCATGGGACTCCGGGCACAAAGCCCCCGGGGCCGCGCCAGTCCTGGGGCGCGAGTCTGTGGTGCGGGGGTCGACGGGGTAGCGGGCGCCGGCTCTTTGTGCCTTTTCATTAGCAATCTAATCCGAACGGCGTCGGGCGAGCTGTGCTGCCTGACAGGCGGGCGGACTCCCATTATGCAAACGGCTGTGTGCCTGCGGCTGCCCCTCGCTGGGACGTTTTTCAGAACTGCGCTTGTGTACGGTCTGCTGTCCTTTACCTCTAGTCCCCTACCTGGCTGGGAGACTGGCCGTGGCAGGGCCAAGGACGGGCTTGGAGGGCCCGGCTCCGTGGCTGGGTGGGCTTTCTGCCCTGCCCCCAGACCTTTGCTGAAGGCAGCCGCCTGGCAGGAAGAGAGATGGGCTTGGGGGGAGGGGGGAGGGTGGCAGGAGGAAGGGACTGGCTGGCTCAGGGAGTGAGCTGAGGGGCCCTAGCTTGTCATTCTCTGTTTATCTTCCAAAATGGTTCATATGCACACGGGCCTGGGTGTGTGTGCTGGGGGAAATGCCTCTCCCAGGGGGGCACTGACTTAACGTTCTTGGAGAGATTGAGGCCAGATAATACTTGCAGCAGCCCCACCCAGAACAGTTTTGGACTGCCTCGAGAGTCCGGTGCTGATCTCGGCTGGCCGGAGAGATTTAGAAGTTATTTACTTACGTCTTCTGCCCCCTTCTTCACAGTGTCTTTTCTAGTTATAATTGTCAGGCGCATTTGGAAAGCGGTGTTCCAGGCCCCTCACTCCCAAACAGCAGGAGGGGTGTAACACGGAGAGGCCACCCCCACTGACATATGTGGTGGTGGGGGAGGGGCGGCTCCTTGCCTATAGGAATCCTGTGGCTGTGGATTGTTTCTGGGGTTTGTTAGCTGTGTCTTGCTCCTAGGGCAGGGAGATCGGGCACGTAGTGGAGGGGTTCACCATCTAGGCTGAACTTGGGACTTCCCGTCTGGGACACCGGATGGAGGAGGGATGGAACCAAATCCTAGAGGGATGCCAAATTCAATTATTGCTCTGATTCTCCCTGGCTTTGCCTCTCCCCTGTTCTTATCTGCCTGTATCTGGAATCTGTGGCTTTCAAACAGACATTTTTAGGATCGTAGGGTGGGTGACCACTCTAGCCCTGGCTCAAGGAGAAAAAGTATGCTGGGTGGAGCAGGGCTTCTGGAGTAGTCTGAATTAAAGCAGACGGGCCAGCCTGGCCTCTAGAGACAAACGTGTGACTAGCAGAGTCCTTCAGACTAGGATTTCTGCAAGAATTCATGTTGCCTGCAGGTGATCTTTCTGTCCTGTGCAGTTCAAGTTTTCATGAAAACCTACAAGGTTTTTCCAGAAAAGCTGGGAAGAGTCTTTGCCTCCCTGCTTGCAGTGAGTGGGGTCAGCTCTGTTTGCTCAGCTTTCTGTTTGGCCTCCTGGCTTTCTACAGGCTGGTGGTACGGTGTTGGAGAGTGCTTGTCGACCTGCTCCTCTGGCTGTTGGAGTGCTGCTGTGTGCCCAGAATTCCTTCCTGCAGTGTTTTCCTGCCAGTTGTTGGGACTTGTATATTAGTCACTGAGCTTTTATGAGCAGTTCCTGAAAAGAAAAATCTTCTGTTTGCTGGCTTCGCATAGAGGAAAAAGCAGCTTGAGGGAGCCCTGCGTTGAATTAAAGCCAAGCTAAAATGGTTTGCTGGAAGGCCAAGATGAGGTGCAGGCAGGCAGAGGTAATGTATCCCATGCTGCCTTGGAGTACCTGCTCTGAGGACAGACAGGTAGGCAGGATACCTTCCTCACTTCCTGGTCTTGGCCAACAGCCTAGCCTCTTCCACAGGCTGCAATCCTAGATTAATCCTCACATAGTGTTTTCTTTCCACAGATCAGATTTCTCATTTTGTTAATAAGCACAGCCTCTGATCCACTTGAAGTCAGCTGTTGTGGACCAAGAGCAACGGGGTCTTGCATTATTGAGCTGCAGGGAATGCTGTGGATCTCCTTGAGACTTTATTGCCTGTCAAGGTCAGGCTTGAAGGGGTGAGGTTAGGGGCATGAAGTACCTTTTCCCCTTTTAACTGGAGTTGAAGTTTGTTAAGAGCTGTGCTGACGGGGCTGGAGAGATGGCTCAGAGGGTAAGAGCATTGCCTGCTCTTCCAAAGGCCCTGAGTTCAATTCCCGGCAACCACATGGTGGCTCACAACCATCTGTAATGAGGTCTGGTGCCCTCTTCTGGCCTGCAGGCATACACACAGAAAGAATATTGTATACATAATAAATAAATTAAAAAAAAAAAAGAGAAAAAAAAAAGAGCTGTGCTGACACGCACCATTAATCCCAGCACTTGTGGAGGCAGAGGCAGGTGGATCTCTGAGTTCTAGGACCATCGAAGATACAGAGAAATCCTGTCTTGGAAAACCCCAAGAGAGAGGTTATTACTTTCATTTATTTTTATATGTATGCATGCTTGCATGCATGCATGTATGTATGTGGATTGCAGTCTGCTAAAGGTCGGAGGGACAACTCGCAGGCGTGGTGCTCTTCTTCCACCTGTGCAGTTCACTTTGCAGTCAACCTTGGACAGTGATGACCCTCTTCCCCACCTTACCACCCCACTTCTAAGACTAATGTAACCTGTGATTATAAGAGGATTGACACGGGCAGTGTGGGTGGCAGGCATAGTGGGAGGGGCCATTTGTAGGCTGGAGGAGGGCACTAGATGCCATGCTAGGTTTTTTTTTTTTTTTTTTTTTTAAATTTTGTTTTGTTTTTCATGACAGGGTTTTTCAGTGTAATTGCCTTGGCTATCTTGGAACTCACAGAGATCCACCTGTGTCTTTCCCCTGAGTGCTGGGATTAAAGGCATGGGCTAGTATCCATGCTAGGTTCTTGGTGCCAGAGCTGAGGGATTTTTCTTCTTTTTATTGCATTTATTTATTTGTTATATGTGTGTTTGCTGCCTGCGGGAGCTGTTGTTGCTCTCTTTCTTCCATGTGGGTCTCAGAGATTGAACTCAGATTGCAGACTTGGCAACAGGCAACTTTACCCTGTCTTGTCAGTCTTGTTTTTGTTGTTTTAGATAAGGTACCACTGTGTACCCAGATATGCCTCAGCCTTCCAGTCTTGGGTAGCTGAGATGAGGGTTTTTCTTTTAAAGGCTGTGGTACTGTGAAGGATGGGCTAGGCTAATAATGGTCAGGAGATCCTGGAAAACATCTTGCAGGTATTTGAGCCTTGGGTGTGCCACTGTCCGCCAGATGTGAGACTCTTACAAACTTTATATTTACTCAGCCACGTTTTCGAAACTTAGCCCCTATGGCATGTCTGAACTGTGCTGGCTTTTCTGCCCTCTGGTGCTCACAGACTTGTGTATCACTGCTCTGCTTTTCTTTTTTTTTTTTTTTTTTTTGGTTTTTCGAGATAGGGTTTCTCTGTAGCTTTGGTGCCTGTCCTGGAACTAGCTCTTGTAGACCAGGCTGGCCTCGAACTCACAGAGATCCGCCTGCCTCTGCCTCCCGAGTGCTGGGATTAAAGGCGTGCGCCACCACCGCCTGGCCACTGCTCTGCTTTTAAGGCCCAGTGATAGGTGTCATTCCAGTTCAGCGGGGTTCTCCTGAGACTGAGGCTAATAACTTGCTGGGGTTGGAGGGTAAATGCCTTTAGCTTGAGAGCCTTTGTTACGTGATGTCTGTAGATACTTGAACTCAGACCTGGGAGGGATGTTAGAGAACCTTTTCTCCCAGAAAGACTGGATTTCTATTAGAATCTTTTAAACAAGCCTTTTAGACAAGTTTGTCTGTATTAACTGGTGTGTGTGGGGTGGGAGGGAGAAGGAAGCTTGTCCCAAGGTTTAGGAAAGGTCCGTAAGGAGCAACTGTTTTCTTGAGCCTTCTGGGAGATGGGCATGGGGAAACCCCCTAGTAAGCTTGATTCCCTGAAGGCCAGACACTGCCACAGCCCAGAACCGTATGGAAAGGTACAGAAAGGTAGACCCTGGGAAGGGCATGACTAGAGTGAATGGGTGTGTGACCCCATGACCCTTCCTGGGACCTTCAGGAAGTCCACCATAACTGATGAAACTACTCTAGGAGGAGGAAGAAGCATGGTTTCAGGCTTGAAGAATGGGACTGGGGATCTTATAACCTTCAAGGTGAGAAAGGGTGAGTCAGCCCCTTACATCTAGGCCAGAAGTCCCTCCTGTTCTTTGTGAGCTGGAAATGGGTGTAGGTCCTTGTTTTCCTGATTGACAGTGAACTACCTTAGAAGAACTTTTTCTGTGGGGGAAAGAGGGAGGTGTGGGGATATGGAAAGGCAGGCTGTTCTTCAGGTTGCCATGTCTGTCCTGGGATTGCCAGAGTGACAAGGATGAAGGGTCCAGGTGAGAGCGAGCCTACTGTGTGGCTGGAAGGGCTGCTGGCTCAGTGAGTACAGCTGCAAGGGGAGTTGTTCTTTGTGGGTCTGGGGCCTCAGGCCTCCTTCCTAGCAGCACCAGTGGCCAGATGCTCTGGCTGGTGGGAGGGGCCGCTTCCACTTCCATATAGGGGTCTGAGCCCTGTTGGAATGTTCATCAACCCAGTTCTGGGCTCTTCAGGTGAAGGACCCCATAACTTGAACCCTGTTCATGGTCTTTGCAACTCCCTTATCCTGCCGCTTGGAAGCAGGTGGATTCCTGGTGAGTTTTCGTGCACAAAGTAAATGAAAAGGGAGGGTGGGACCTGAGACCTCAGGGACCTCTCCTTATGTGGACAGAGTGTCCATACTGTGTGGGATGGACTGCATGTAAGCCTGGCACTGTTGACTTCATCTTTGGGGAGCTCAGTTTATCCC